CTGGGCATTGCACAGATGGTTGGAAGCTTCAACCTGCAGTGATATGTGTCACTTGTGTTCACAACTCATAGGCCACAGTTACTTGCATATGAGCCCACCCCACGTCATGGAGGTCAGATCCTATCAGGTGGCTAGACAGGGGAGGAAGGCTGGAAATATTTGGTGAGCAGCAACACAAGTGATTACCCTGATAAAAATAAACAACTTTGTAAATGCCTTCAAAGAACAGCATACCTTAGTACTATCATCATTAATAATACTAACGTGACAAAGCAATTTCATTGAATGCAATATCAGTAAGAAAATTCAGAAACTTTTTTTTCTCATCCATGTTCCCTCTTTTAGTCTCCTTTAAAGGCAGTAAGAGAATCAACCTGCTAAAGGCGAATATATTGCAAACTTCTTGCTGGCTGTTTTTTCAGCCAGCCAGCCAGCCGGTCAGCCAGCCGGCTCTATCTAGAATCACACACCTTTTTATTGAGTCAGCTCATTTTCACCAGGTCAGTAAGATGTGGAAGACATCCAGAGAACTTAAGAAAAGCAGACATAGGATGGTGAAGCTTTTTAGAAATGGGGCAATCAGATAAAATATTTGAGTAAACAATATTTCAAAATTATTCTGGATTCAACATTTTAGAGGAGTCAGGAAAGACTTCATAGTGGAGGTGACATTTAAACTGGCACTCAAAGGCGTTTGCTAGGTAGAAAGTGGAGCAGGGCATTCCAAGGAGAAGGAACAGGCTGTGCAGTGGCAAGTAAACTGCTTGGGCTTGGTACATCTGTAGGAGAATAAGAAATTCGCTGTGGCCAGAGACTAGGAGGTCTGTCAGGATTACTGTTAAGATATTAGCACAGGACCAAAAATACTGTTGTGTCTTTCATTTGTTAGCACATGGGGAGGCAAAAATCTTAATTCATCCTGTCTGGTGCTCTAACAGTAGTTAATATGACCCCAAAGAGAAAAGGCCACCAGCAAGTAATTTGCTATATAGAGAAGTAGAGACAATGAGTTTCTAGAAACTGGATACTTCTATTTATTTATTGGCAACAATTTTAAAGTCATATACATATATGTATTTAAATATATCCATGATATATATATATATATATTTTGGTGGGTGGGGAAGCAAGTGATCTGCTAGGCTGCAAGCAGATTAAGACAAAACCATCAGCTGGGTTTGGTGGCTCAGCCTGGAATCCCGCGCTTTGGGAGGCTGAGGTGAGTGGATTGCCTGAGCCCACAGGTTCGAGACCCGCCTGGGCAAGGTGGCGAGACCTCATCTCTACAATAAATCAAAAAATTAGCCGGGTGTGGTAGCGCACACCTGTAGTTCCAGCTACTTGGAAGGCTGAGGCGGAAAGATCGCCGGAGCCCAGCAGGTAGAGGCTGCGGTGGCCGGGAGTGGCCACTGCACTCCAGTCAGGGTGACAGAGTGAGACTCCAACTCAAAAAAAAAAAAAAAGGACAAAACCATTAAGTTAAAAAAACAAACACTGCAGGAGTGTGGGCAGGAGTGAAGCAATATTCAATAAAATGCATTTGTCAAGAAAAAGGTGATGTGATGGGGAAAAGAAAAACAAGAAGCTCTACATGTTACATATCATTTAGTCCTAACACATTTTGTGAAGTGAATGTTATTATCATCATTGCAAAATGAAGACAACTGATGGTCAAATAGTTTCTTATAAAATTATCTGTTTAAGCTTGAGTTTTATTTTCAATCTTTGAGACAAATTTCCCCTGTAAATTGGAGATATGACATTGCTGCCCACCTTACGAGGTTATTAGGAGGATTAAAAGAAACAAAGAAATTTTGTTGTCAGTCTTGATCTTTATCAAATCTTCCGTTTTCTAATTCTGTCCTGATATTTGCATATTATTCAAAATTGGGTCTTTATAAAAGAGACTTTGTGAAGGCTGTTTGTAGAGAAATTTTAGCATATCTTAAAATATACTGCTTTAAACTATAAGGAAAATGAGTTTTGTTTAAGTGCCTTCATTTTTTTCTCTTGACATTTTAAATAGTTTTGTGGGAAAATGTATTTCTCCCTTTATGTCTTTTAAAACAAAATGTACCAAATAATGATGTTACATACCAGGCATTGTTCTAAAATTTTAACATACATTAACTTATTTCATCCTTACAGTCACTCTACGAGGTAAGTACTATTATTATCTCCAATTTCTAAATGAGAAAACCAAGGTACAGAGATATTAAGTGACTTGCCTAAGATCATACAGCTAAAAAGCATCTGGGCCAGGATTTAAATTGAAGTATTTTGTCTTCAGAATCGGAACTCTTAACATTTAAGGGTTCAGAATCTCAACTCTTAAACGTTGAACCATGATACATTACTGAAGACAATGAATCACTTTCCTAAGTGAATCAGGACCATCATTATGTATAATTTTTTATGTATGATTTTTATTTAGTATCTACAGAAACTATTGTGGTTTAGTACAGGATTGTGTACCTATAGTCATATTACATAGTACGTATAGACGGATAGATGTCCCTATCTGTCATGTTTTTAACTTACTTTGTCTATTTCTTAATATTTTTCTTTGTCCTCCCTCACTGAAAAAAAATTATTTTCACTGTATCTACCTCTACATATTGCCTTCTTTCCTTCCTCTAACTGTTCAACTTCCAGTTTCCTAAGAGCTAGAAACCAGATCATCTCACGTTTGACTTGTGTCTAAAATAGGAGTCATGAGGTCTTGAGAGAAGACCCAAGCCTTTAGTGAATGGACTTTGTGACATCTGTGACAGGGATCTTTATTTTTTGGCATGTTTTCTGTTCTCAACTGTGATCCAGATAGTTTAGATAGCTGGATAAGTGACTTCTTAATAAGCGAGGTGTCACAAAATATAAACTCAAGGCATTTCTATTCTTCCACCTGTTCAAAAGTGTTTTAGTCATCATCATAATTGGAAGGACGGCCTAGTTCCTCAAGCTTCTGGGTAGCCATCTGATGCTTGGAAGTAGAGAGACGTGGCTACAACTTGGATAAAAATAGCCCTTCCAGATGGCTGAGGGGCAAAGTTACAACTCAGCAGCTTGATATAGCTGAGCACTCAAATTTTGGAGTAGGAGGAGGGCTATGTGAGAAGTAGCCAGAGAGACTGGGCTGGAGTCCAATCATAAGTAGAACAGTATATGCCAGGAGAGATCACTTAACGTAGCAGATTAGCTGTTAAGATTTTCTGCTACTTCATCTCCATCTCCTTCCCACTTCCCTTGAATCAACCTTATCTCTGGGCCCAAGGGAGAACACACACACACGCGCGCACACACACACACACACACACACACACACACACACACACACACACACACACACACACACAGATATTTTAAAATAGAAGTATGAACTATAAATCTTAAAAACTTTTAGAATTCTACTGGTCTCCTTGTTTTAAACACAAGCAAACCGAAACAGAGAAAGGTGAGGTGAACACTTAGGGTCGAGCAGGATGTTAGTGGGACTTATATGCTCTGGCTTCCCGCCTAGGGCTCATCTTCCTGCTCTACTGTGGGAGTGTGTGTGCAGTCATACCAGGACATGCTTCCTCCAGGCCTGCCTTGACTCATTTCAAACTCTAAATAAAAGCCTCTAGTTTAAAAAAAAAAGTGTGGAATATTGCAAAACACCATGCTATTGCTTCTACCTTCAAAACAAAAACTAACCCTCTGACAGATGAGTCATTGGCTTGAAACCTCGTCTCACAGATGAAAATACTTACTAATCAAATGCTTAAACAGATTGAACCGTGTAGGTCTCCCATCTTCTAAAATCTTTTAGTTGTTCTGTATTTCTAGTGGATATTCTGGAAGAAAACTGAAGCTTCTTATAGTAAACATATTTTAAATATTTCAGTGTCTGTTCAAGTTATTGAGTGCTGTTTTTAAAAATATAGTAATTAGCCGGGCGTGGTAGCGCTCGCCTGTAGTTCCAGCTACTTGGAAGGCTGAGGCAGAAGGATTGCCGGAGCCCAGCAGGTCGAGGCTGCGGTGGCCAGGAGCGGCCACTGCACTCCAGTCTGGGCAATAGAGTGAGACTCCAACTCAAAAAAAAAAAAAAATATATATATATATATATATATATATATATATATATATAGTAATTAGAATGGGTTAGTGCTTACATTTAGCAGTTGTAATAGACACTATTATTTTTTGAAAATCAAGTTAATTGAGAAACATATTGCTCGCATTTATTAGCCCAAAGGAAAGGCATTGCTGTTCCCTGGTGGTAGTACAGCCTCATTGCAGGTAAGTTACTTAGAAGTGGAAAAGATTTGGGGTGCCAGCCTCAAGCTTCAAATTCAGTTCTACAATAAACCGACTCTTTAAAATACTCTCATTAATCTTGCATTTTCTTACATGAAGGATTTACAGGTAGCAAAAACAAAAAACTAAGACAAACCAACAAATCCCCAACTAACTTTTTCCAACACAATAGGATTTGTACTGCCCAAGTGAGTGTTACAATACTGTTGGAAAACAGTATGTTACTTTTTTTTAACCCTAACCCTAATCCTAATCCTAACATTATGTTACTTTTTAAGAGGAAGTTTCTTTTCTTCTTATGGAATTCATCCTTAAACCGTATGGATTAGGGACTTGGGGCCGGGTACCTTGTGGTACCCTGGGAGCAGATAACAAGGTCTCAGCCCTGGTTACATGCACAATGCTCTCCTACCGAGTTATGTAGCTGACAAATAGGGGAGTGATCACCACAGAAAGAGACATGGAGTGAGGACAGGGGCAGGCATTTTTTGATTGCCCACCACGCATGTGGGCTTATGCCAGTCCTGTTAGATGTGGCTGGAGCAATCCTATTAAAAGGTTGGACTTGATCCATGAATAGATGTGCTAATTCTACCCTAGGTACCTCCTCACCCTGTAGCTCAGAGACCTCAGTGGAGCTGGCCTGGAGCAGAGATCCACCTGCTAGATGGCCACTGCTTGAATTAAAAATTCAAGTCAGAACATACTTTTCAATGCCTTTATTAAGAAATATCAAAAGTTGATTACAGGTCCATACACAGTTTTACAAAGTTCAAGTAAGGAAGAACATGGGGATGCCATCAATGTACGGAAGCTTGCCAAAGGGATGACCATACCACTCCTGTCACTTTGACAGTGGTCCACAGCAATGCTCTTGCCATTTCCATTGGATTATCGTATAATACCTTAAGTTCCTTGAAAGAGTTTTAATGCATTATAAATACTTAAGTATTTGTCCTTTCATTTGTCATTGTTCTTTCCTGCAATAGCTGAGCTATCTATAGGAAGCATAACAGTTGAGTCCCATTCACCTGTGATTGTTACATTTTCACAAAGCCTGCTTTGAAAGCTGGCCAACATTGCAAGTTATATGTTACCACATTACACAGGAGAGGACCCGTACACATTGTTATTTTTAAATTTAACACTGAACATAAAAAGAAAAATCACTCAACTTGGAAACAAAACACCACAGTCAGTCAGTGGAACCTTCAAGAGGAGGGCAAGTCTACCAGTTCCACTGAGCTCCAGTCACAAGTGGTCAACAGTGTGACCATGAACGATTGGATGCAGGAACACCAGCACAAAATACGAAAAGGAGTATTTGGGGGGTTGGTACATCACCAACTTTCATGTCAGGGATATTGTGTTAGAGGGGAGTTACACTCTCAAAACAATCAGGGCTAGTAGGTCATTGGTACTGGATGAGAAACAGCAACGGTGTGGTGTGCCTTGGTTAAGGCTTGTGCTGGTTTACCTAAAAGTAGATTTCTGAGGAGACTGTCCAGCAACATCAGACAGAACCATCTTCAGAGGAAGGACTCCTTGTTCACCCACATCAGACTGCGCGTCTCATTGGGCTTGCATTCATACTCAATGACTGAGAAGGGGCTTCCCCACTGGCAGTGATCTCGCTTGTGGTAATTGTAGAACTTGACTTGCCACACTGTCTCAAAGGTCCCAATGTCTGTGAACTGAGAGAAGAGAAACATGCCCAGTAAAAACCTCATTCAGCCATGAGCAAGATGAGAGCTAAAGTTAATGACAAAGCTCCTGGATAACCAAGTATCAAGACTTTCTTGGTCTGCAAAGCTTAGAAGTCTTTCCTTTTAAGACAGGGGAGATATTCTTAAAAAGTTGTCAGTAAACCATTTTTCTTTAAAAAATCTTATTCTCATTGTATAAGTAGCATTTACTATCACATTGCTTTTAATAAAAATAACTCCCAAGTTTATGTTGTTTTCAAGTTTAATTTTCTGAAAACTGCTCTTAGAATTTCAGAATTTTAAAGGTTGCTCTAAAATGGTTCCAGTTACAGAAGGAGGAGGGGGGAAGAAAAGGAATAATGTTTACTGTCTTTGGGCCTCTATTTCAAAAAATAGTAATACAAAATAACATATATACAACATATCCATGTAAGATATATCTTCCAACATTAGTTTCAATTCCAAGGAAAAATATTTCAAAATGATAACCAAAAATATTTTATTGGAAGTTATTTGTTAAAGGCAGTTCTTCAACTATAAAATATTGTTTATGAGTCAAGAGTTCATGCCCACATCTAAGGCTTAGATTATACATTACCCAAAACCATATCTGAGTATCCACTATGTACCTTGCACATGTAAAAATTTGTATAAGGCATGATTCTTGCTCTTAAAAAGTTCTACTTCCGGCTGGGCTCGGTGGCTCAGCCCGTAATCCCAGCACTTTGGGAGGCTGAGGTGAGTGGACTGCCTGAGCCCGTGGGTTTGAGACCAGCCCGGGCAACTTGGTGAGACCGCATCTTTACAATAAATCAAAAATTAGCCAGGTGTGGTAGCGCGTGCCTGTAGTTCCGGCTACTTGGAAGACTGAGGCTGAAGGATCGCCGGAGCCCAGCAGGTCGATGCTGGGGTGGCCGTGAGCGTGTCACTGCATTCCCTGGGTGGTGGAGTGAGACTCCAACTCAAAAAACAAAACCAAAAAAAAAGTTCTACTTCCAGAAGGCAGGCCCTGCAAATCACTGCATGGAAATCTCTGGAGCTATAAGAACTCATTTCTCTTATAGCTGAGAAGAGGGCATAGAATACCCTCGAGGCCACTGGGCAGATGCTCAAGTGGCCTGTGGGGTAGCCTGACCCTGCTACTGCTTTCTGTAGCTATTTAGGGGATCTGGCATTAAACAGCATGATGCCTGTCGTTATTTTCTCCTGACCCTCCCCTGTCATGGGAGGGTACAGGGACTGACTTGGCAGGATTCTTAGACTTGTCAGGAGCCAGAAGACGTGAAGTGGGGAGGGCAGTGAGCATTAGGAGTCTTATGCTTCTTGCTGATACAGGAGGAGGGTGATCAGGTGCTTCCCAGATAGCTTTCCAAGATGCTCTCAAAATTATATCCTGCACCATTGCCTCATCCTGCTAATTCGATCCCAAAACAAGGTCTGGGCTTTCCTTCGGGAAATTTGCTTGACTTGAAATAGTAGATGATATATCTAGAGTCTACGAACTTCCCAGGTATGAAAATGAAATATATTTTTAGAGAGTCATGGCTTAAAGACCGATACAAGCAGGCAGCAGATGTGTTCATAATAGCTCCAGATGGAATCAACCCAAATGCTTCATCATTCACCTGGTGATGGGCAAGTTTTGTTATATTTATAAAATGGCATTTTGCTAAAGAGTAAAGAACATGCTGATCCAGGCAACTAAAGGCGTGAATCTCAAAGACATGCTGAGTAAAAGAATCTAAGAACCTTCCCCCAAAATACACACTGTATGACTCAATTTATATAAAACTCTATATAGTGACAGAATATAATCTACACTGACAGAAAACATCCATGGTTATCTAGGCCCTGGGGTGAGAAGATTGATGCACATATGCCAAGAGGAAATTTTTTGGGGGGTTATGAAAGCATTCTATATCTTAATGGGATGGTGGTTAAAAGGGTATATGTATATGTTGGTCAAAACTCATTGAATTTCATGCTTAAAATGGGTTCATTTATTACATGTAAATTATACTTTAAAGTTAAGAAAAACAGAAACATAGAAATATGCATTTTCAGTGGGCTACAGGAAAACAAGTATTCTAAACACTGCTAATGGGAATTGGATTAGCTAGCCTTTTAGAAGAGTAATTTGTAAAGTATATTCACACCTTTAACTTGATACAAAACAATTCTACTTATTCTATCACAAAGTTTATAGTAGTAAAAAACTGAACAACAAATGTTCACCTTGAAGGCATTAATTAATTATGGAATATCTATATAATGGAATACTATGTAGTAATTCTAAATGTAAAATATTTGATATACTTTTTCTATTATTTTATATGGCTACATGAACTAAGCAGAATGTGTAACACAAGAATGTGTAGTACTGTTAACCCCATTAAAATTATACTTGTCAATGTTGTAAACTCTGATGAAATGTTTTATTTTCTTCTATGTTCTCACTGGTATTTTCAAAATTTAATAATTATTACTTTTTATAATCAGAAAGTAACATTAAACCCAAACTGTATTTACAAGTATTACCAATTAATATACTTAATATAAAAGATTATATAAATTAATTAGTAAGAACTACTAAGAATATTGGTTAAAAGACTGGAACAGTTAATTCAAAAGAAAAATATGGTTAATATTTAAAATCATTCCACGATGGACTATTACACAGCCATAAAGAAGGACAAAATTATGAGCTTCGCAGCAACTTGGATGGACTTGGAGGCTATAATACTGAGTGATCTATCACAAAAACAAAGAACCAAGTGTCACATGTTCCCACTCATAAGTGGATCCTGAACAACTATTATAATACTATAAGAAAGGGATTGGCAGTAGTGGGAAACTGCCAGGAGAGAAGGGGCACACCTTATCAACAAAGGTGCCTACATAATGAACATTTGTATACCTAAGCCTGAATTATACTCTACATATTTAAAATTAAAAATTAAAAAAAGAAAACAATTCAAATATAATGTCATTAGTAATTAAAGAAATACAAACTTTTTTTTTTTTTTTTTAGAGCCAAAGTCTCACTCTGTTGCCCAGGCTGGAATGCGGTGGCATGCAAATGACTACCACAGCCTTGGCCTGCTGGGCTCAGGCAATCCTTCCACTTCAACCTTCCAAGGAGCTGGAACTACAGGCATGCGCCACCATGCCCGGCTAGGAAATATGAACTTTCATATTCATCTATCAATTTAGTAAAAATTTATAAATACAAGAAGCAATCTAAGCCTCTAACATTAGGACACTATGATAATGATGGCAAATCCATATTATGCCCTTACATAGCCATTAAATAGGAATTTAGGGTTGTTAATGAAATTTTAAAAATGCTTTGAATAATGTTAAAGGAAAGAGATGAATCCTAATGGTTTATATACATTATGAGCACAAATATATAAAATACTATATATAGAAAAAAGAAAATAAAAAATATTAACTTCTAAGTAATTTATTTTTCTATCTTTCCACTCCAACTTACTGCAGTAAATGTTACTTTAACACTCAGATTTTTTAAAAATAGTGAAAGGGATTTCCTATTTCTCAAAAATTAATATGTATAGCCCCTAAGCCCAAGGAACTTTATAAATTCTAGTAATATGTACATTTTAATGAAAATATTACAGCTTTGTTCACAATAGGGTAGTGGAGGTATGAATAAACTAGAATCTCATTTTATAATTCACCAAGACTTAATTTTACTTAATTAGACTGCTGTGGAGTACAAGTGGGTATTAACTACATAGGCAGGCTGCAGGCAGGTGAAGTTTGGGCTTCCAACTGGCCCTCTTCCCTTGGTAGTGGAACTGTACCCTCACTAAGACTTTCAAAGAGGGTTTAGCCGGGTTCGGTGGCTCAGCCTGTAATCCTAGAGCTTTAGGAGGCCGAGATGAGTGGATTGCCTGAGCCCGCGGGTTCGAGACCCGCCTGGGCAACTTGGCGAGACCTCATCTCTACAATAAATCAAAAATTAGCCGGGTGTGGTAGCATGCGCCTGTAGTTCCAGCTACTCGGAAGGCTGAGGCAGAAGGATCGCTGGAGCCCAGCAAGTCGAGGCTGCAGTGGCCGGGAGCAGTCACTGCACTCCAGTCTGGGCGACAGAGTGAGACTCCAACTCAAAAAAATAGTAATAATAAAGAGGGTTTAGTATTTATTATTATTTTTGACCAGCACAGGGCATTGCACATTTTAAGTACAACTGAGTTTTAAAATTCAATTAAAGCCTGAATTTTAAGTTACAAAATTATGTAATAAAATATGTTTTAATAAATATTTTATAATAAAATATTTTAGTATTATAATGCTTTTCCAATACCAACTAATCTTTTGAGTGAAGCAGCCTGAAATCATGCTGGGTAGGTAAAATAATGCTGAGTTTTTGGTTTTTTTTTAAATAAAAGTTGACTATTAAAAAAAGCCAACAGAGATGATTATAACTACAGGCAAGAAAAAACTTAAGGCTCGTATCTCATGTCTGAATAAATTTAAAAAGTCTCATTAGAGCTCTCAGTAACACAGGAGACCAAAATTAAAATCTGTTGACAGCAACAGTTACAGCTAAAGATATGGGATGTTTAGGTGCTTGTATTTCAACTTTGTTTTCTCTTTTATTAGTGTTGGACCCAAGGTCATGTTGAAGTAACCGTACCTGCTGCTAACTGTACCTGCTGCTAACTATGCATATGCATCCCTGTCTCTCGTGCCTTAGTTGTTTGCATGTCCCATTAGCTTTCATCCTATTCTTTCTTTTGAAGCTCTACTTTCTAGACTTCGTACTACCTAGCTCAGAATTTCTTCTTGTCTGGCGAAGAACAGATGGGGTCTTGAAAGCTGGCATTCTTCTTCTTAAAGAACAGAAGCAACTATACAGGCTCTTCACTCCCTTCCAGCCCATCTGTCCCTTCTAAGGAAAATCTATCCAGGAAGGCTCCTGGGTGATGCAATTTATATACAGGTATAATTCTGTGTATATA